AATTATGCAATGCTATTGGATGTTATGGAAGCATTTTTTTAGAAGTAACATTTTGTAATTGATTTATTCCTTTTTATTAACTTTTGATTGATTTAAAGATTTGTGATAGATAATTTTCGAACATATGTTAAATCGCGATACATCACTATGTCTTACTGACGATGTATCACGATAAAGAATTTCTTACATCACCCAGTATTACTCAACACTCGTTGCTTTTTACTTAAACTTTGATTTATACTGAAATTACCTAATTTTAAGATTAAATTCAAATAAATGATTCACTTTTGCATAAAACAAAATTTTACTTTTAATTCTATTTTTAAAATTATGACATTCATCAAATAAAATTTTTCTTTTTAAAAAGTTAGTTTTAATTTCAAATATGAAATACTTGATATGCATTTTTCTTAAATTAAAAAAATTGGAAGTGAGGTCTGACATATGCATGGATCAGACATATTTCATTTTTTTTTAATATTTTATAACTGTCGTTGAACAGCCGACCCAATTTTTAAGCTTATGGCCACAAATATTCAACTCCGTAGCCATGTAATTAATTTTGAATCCAATCCAGAAGATGAGGGAACACCTTAATCAAGTATTGGGAGAAATTTGCCTTTGCGGAGGACTTTTTGATAGAACTAACCCGCATTTGCGTGGCATGGAGAGGAAAGCCACGAAAGCCTCATGATTAGCCTAACGGCAAGGGGACTCTAACAGATGATCTGTCTACCACTGAGGATACTGTAAGTCAGCACTGTGGTTGGTGAAAGCCAGATGCGGGTTTTTATCGACCAGCCATTGCAGGAATCGAAGCTGGTTCATATCTTTGGAAGACGAACTCTCTATCCCCTGAGCCACCACGGCTTTCACACCTTTAATTAAACTTATTTAATCCTATTCAACTAATAAAACTTACTTTGTCATGGTCGATAAATCTTTTCAAATACCAACAATATATAATACCAATAATATAAAGGCAGCAAAAAAAATTATTTATTAAAATTAAAATGAGTTTCTCAGTAGTTATTACTACTAAGCATAGTAAAGACTTATTATAAGGGACCTCCAATGCCGTTCCAAAAAAATAAATTATGAGCACTAGGCAGAAATTTTTTTTTATTGTTATTCGGTAGAATATGTTTTTTTTAACTTAATCTCTAACAGAATTCGAGAATGACGTGGTATGTTTAAACAAATCTAAAATACGGATGTCCATGTTTTAAAATCAATGAAACTCAAGTGCATTTCGATTAAGTACCCGAATTAAAGGCACTTTCAACAGAGCCAAGATCTGTAAGTAACGAAACGAAACAAAAAAGGAAGCGCACGTGAATAAAAAATGTGAACATTTTAAACTCTGGCAATTTGATTTGTTCACATATTAAGTACTAACTCGAATTGTTATTCTTAATTACTGAAATACTACTGTAAAGGGCTAGAAACTTATTACTGTTATTAAAATACAAATGAGTTTCAACAAAATTAAAATTCTGCAATGAAATAAAATTATACATAAGAGCATTTGAATTTACATAATATTTTGATATAAATACATATGAAATGCTTACTTAAGAAAGGATAGTGATTTTATCACAACTCTAAAAACGAAAATAATGCAACGAAATGAAACTAAAAATGATACACACTTGCACTTATTAATGCTGACAGGGAGTGTAGCCAAATTTTTACACAGAAAATAAACACTTTTAAAGAACTTTTCAAGCACCCAAAATATTTTTAAGCACTTTAAAAAAGTAACATAATTAGAGGGTTGGCGAGTTTTTGGCAATTGTTGGTTTTATCTAGCTTTAACCGTCATGTTAAAAAANAAAAAAAAAAAAAAAAAAAAAAAAAAAAAAAAAAAAAACCTTTTGACATGGTTTTTGACAATTTTCAAAAAATCAGAATTTTGGCGTAAGGTTAATTATATGCTATTATAAATCTGAAGTATTTTTAAATTACCATACATGTAAAATTACAAGTGCTCCATCAATTATGTTCCTGAATTTTATTCAAACATAAAACTCTTTCGTTTTGAAAATTACTGCCAAAACCCAAATTTTGGTGAATAAAATACTAAATAATTATAAATAAAAATAGGTCAAATTGCAATTTATCCAATCCCTTAATTTGTTTAAGCATTGAAAATAAAAATACAAAAGCAATTACCTTATAAAAAACACTTAACAATCATCTTTATCAATTTTAATAACTGTACTAAATATTGATAGTAAATCAACTAAACCTTTAAACTGATTGATTTAAAAAATTATTAACTCATTTTGTCTAGCATTTATATATTTTGTAAATTATTATTAGTTTACTCATCAGGAAATATATTATATTCATGATTTACAGGATATATTCGTGCACATATAAGCAGGAGTGCAGAAAAATCTCAGTCCCTAATATTTCCTTAGAAATTTTTTTTTCTATCGAAATTAACCCAAAAATTTTAACACTTCTCTCTTTTAGTACAATAACTTTTTTAAAATATTTTTCGAAGGAAAATTTATACAAGAAAAGAAATACATTTGATTTTACACAATTCTTGAAAAAAGGAGCATGCGTTAAAAATTAGTAGAAATCAAAATATATTGAAATAGTAATAGTCACACACATAAACTAATAAAAATTCAAATTAATAAATGCACAAATTGACATATAATGTTTGTTAACAAGGAAAAATTTGCAAAGTGACACATTTTTGAACAATAAAAAATTTTGTAGAAGCTTTTTTCGCATGATTAGACATATTCTTCTAACCTGCACATAAGTAGTAACAACAAACATTAAACTACAGAAATTTTTTAAAAAAAAATTAAGATCAGACAATTATTGGCGACTACTTTAGTTTTATTTAAAAATCTGCTGTTAGTCTTAAAAATCTGCTTAAATTGTGGCATGAAATAATTAAAATCAATATTTATATTGATAATAATTAACAACTCATAGTTATTACTTATAATATATTAAGAGTACCATATCATTGGAAAACCCAATTAATAATTTAATGATTTTGGCTATTTTTTAATAAATGATATATAATATAAATGTTAATTATAGTAGTATATAATGCAAGTATTGTGCATGATTTAATGTATAATAAAAAGTCCTCAATGTTAACAAACAAACTTGTTCCAGATTTTTGTCAGATTTCGACAATTTTTGCAACGTTTCGACAGATTTTTGACATGACTAATCAAATGCTAGTTTTTGACGTCAAAAACCAACCCTGTAATTAGGATATGCGCACTAATGAAAATTTTTTCTTCTTCCTACTGCTGAAAGTTCTTCACAAAAACATTTCCAAAGATCATGAAAAAATATCTAGTGTCTGACAAAGAACTCTTTTCTTGAATATATTAGGCCCCACAAAAACAATTTATGCACAATTTTAAAGATATTCAATATTAAGTGACTCATTCGATTTTTAAATTTAATTAATAATTACTTTATTTAATTACTTGAAAAAATTAATTCAAAATTAAAATTTAACTATTATTTTAAAAGATTATAGAGTGTATTTTTTAGATTTAAGCAAAACTTATTTATAAAAGCATGTTCAACAAAACGTTAACAAGATTAATATTATTGATCATACCAAATTTATAAAGATATATAAAGAATTAAGCAAGCTAATAAAACTCATATCGCAAATGTAAATTTGTGAATGGCCCCTAAAATATTTATTATTATTATTATTTGTTACTTGGATCAATATTTCTTTAATGAAATGATTAAAATGAAAATTTTTTATTAATAATTTTGAAATGTAAATACAGTGAGTTTGGTAGTTAAACAATTTTGTCAGAATAAATTATTACATGGTCCCTACATTCATAATATTTAACAAATCTGAGATAATTGAGTTTTTCGATTTCAATTGATTGCAAATAAAATCATTAAGAGATTAATTGAAGTTTTTTAGAATAACAAATCTGAATTTTTTTACATAACTCAAATTAAGATTTTTGCTGCATTTAAAATATTAACTCATACTTTTTAAGATCTTGCAAATCATAAAACAACTTATGAGTACTGAAAATTTTAAAAGTAATAATACCATAATTAATAAAAAGTAATTAAGTACAACAACATTTTATAAAAAATTTATGCAATTGGTCCCTCAGGTAAAAATATTAATCTTAAAATTCTCAATTTATTCTTAAATTTAATGAATAAAAGAAAGCTGGAAATTTCGAGGTGATGAAGCTATTCTTCACTGCTCAGGAGACCCACATGAAAATACGTAATTAGTGAATAATCCCCAAGTCAAGTTCAAAGATTCCTCAATGAACTATAAATAGAAGATCGCGAGAAGGCCATTTACTTGCCGAAGAGAATGGCTAGTCACCAATGATGAAATTAAAAAGAGAAATAACATTTTCTATCGCTAAGAGGGGGAAAAAAATTTAAAATATTTAGTTGGTCTCCGAATAAGAGAGATTTTTGAAGTTTGATTACAGAGGGCGGAAATTGAAGTTTGAAATTGATAATCTTTTGCGAATTGCAGCATATTTGCACACGAGAGTGCAAAAATCCTTCCCAAGGAATCCAGCTCAATATACGCACATGCGGACCCGCAAGTATTTCATTAAACATGTAAAACAAATGGTGTTTTCATACTCTACGGAACAACAGTACGCAGCAATTAATTGTGAAAACGTTGAATAGGACAATATCTTTTTGCATAATTCGTGGTGAAAATCAACATGGTAAAGAAAAAATATCTTATTTTGGAAAATGGAAAATTAAGCACTTTTTTAAAACACCCATTGAAAAAAGCATCTTTAAGGGCTTTTAAGAAAACAGAAATCGAAAATAAGCACCTTTTAAAAACTCAACGCTCCCTGTGCTGATTACCCAAAATAGAACTACTAAATAAAGTGAAATAGAAAACAAACATTCCTCAAATACAGAAAACAAAAAAAAAAGTTTAGATAAAAAATCTCAATCAAATTATATTTAAATTCGAAGAATAGAAAAATTACCTTTAAAACTATCGCTTCTCTCCACCATCTTGAAAATGAGACTGAAACTTCCCGCCACCTGAAAGGAAAAGAAAAGAAACAAAAATATATAAAAAAAAATAAAAAGTGCGGGAACGAATCACAGGAAAAATAAGGAAATGCATCGATATTTTCAAGTCATCATTTGAGTAGAAGTTTTTCACTGCGACATTTATTATCAAAAAAGGAATCGGCGTCAACATTTTTTTGTAAAAAAGGAATTAAAACATGTAATTTAGGAAGAATTTTAAGTAGAAAACTTTAAAAACAGAAGAGGATGATAAAAACGAATTTAAATGAATCATACTTTGAAAAAATATTCCTTTTTAAATATTTAAACTAAAAGTGATTACGAAAGGGAAAGCATATGCTTACTAGTGCATGAATTACACAAATCATTTTTTTAAAAGTGTAATTGATTTTCTTATTAAACTTTTGGAATTATTAACGCAAGAATTGTTCCTTTAACTCTCTGAAATCAACTCTAAGAACACCGATACAAGTATGAATACTGACTATCTAGCGCACGGACCCTAGACACACTCATTGCTGTACACCTGCGGCGACTTGCTAGTCCGCCTAAACGTAATCATCGCGTTTGCAATTGAAGAAGGGAACATTTACATGGGTTATTTACAAAAGTAAATTTGCAAGGCAAATTTGCAGGGAATATTTACATGTGAGTATTAACATAAAAAGTTTATGTGAGAATTTTAACAAGGGGATAACTAAATTGATTTTGGCGTCTACACATAAAGTGCTTATTCCCAGTATAAAAGTTGTTTTGACTAAAGAATAATTTCCTTGAGATGAAAAGTTTACATGAGATTTTATGAAAAGAGAAATTAAAATTTTGTAAGAATTAAATCTTAAGATTCACAATAATAATAAAAAAAGGATTAAGTTCCATAGATCCGGTTGCTGCTACTTAGCTTTCGGAAAAGTCATGAAAATTTATCGGAAATTACGTATGGTTTTGGTGGCCAAATTCCTGACTTACCCCAGGTATATTTACAAATAAAGGGAATTATTTACAGGGGGAATATACAAATGATGATAGCAACGCAGATGGATTATGATAACATACAATATGAAGTTGATGAGGGTCATTTTTTAAAAGGGGATCTTATTTTATTTACAATATATACCATTATTAAATTTCATCATTCAAGTATAAAATTTCATCCTATAAATAAGATGGGTATATTAAAAATTGAAAAAATTGTAAAAGAAATAGAAGGATAATTCTTCTTTTGAAAGTTCAGAGAAGATTCAGAATTTTCAATGCTCTTTTCCAATAACTGGAAGCCATCTCGTGGTGTCCTCTATTGGTTGAATTGAGAGTTAATCTGGAGCCGTAAGGTGCTTCCATCTGCTGTACAGTTGCTTTCAGGAAATTTAAGTTAAAGTCCAATATAATAATGAAGAGGATTAAAAGATAAGTGAAGAAAAGGGAAACAAGATTTTTCTTGCTATTCCGTATAGTTGAGATTCTTCTTGAGATTTCTACTTATAAAGAAAAGAAAAAGATATAAATATTAAATATTGGAAGATTGTATTATACTTGGGTGGATCGATTTTTAATACTGTTCGGGGTCTGTATTTGTTAGATTGATGATAATAATCATATATTGGTAGCTTTTCTAAATTTCAACATTATTAATGAAAATTAAATTATTATAAAATTTTATAGCTAATTTTTGGAAGTATGCGTTGATATTTTTAAATCTTTACTAATGTTGTAATTTCTGTAATACCAGGGGGCGTTAGTTAAATACCTATAGTGTTGTGTTTTGAAGAGTTTGAATTCTTTTGAGATGGGTTGTTACAGCATCACCGTATATTGCACATCCATAGCTGACTATGGGGAGTAAAATCATTTTATAAAGCATAGCTTGTTTTTAATGTTTAATTCTGAGTTTCTTTTAAAAAAAGGAGAATAGGACTGCTCTAATCTTTTTAAAATTTTAAGGAAATGTTTAACGCGTGGTTTTTAAATGTTATTACATTGTAGAATGCTTGAAATTTTATTCATAAGATGAACACTATTGTTGCATTATTTAAATTTCCTGCTTAAAATATTGTAAAATAATAAGTTAAACATCTTTATTTTCATTTCTTAAATACAGACAGATTTGCATGTTTTTGATACATCATTATTTATATTAATTTGTAAATGATAGCAAATGATAAAAAAAAAGCAACAAATAACAATAATATGGTTAAGAAACTCCCGTTAGTTTCATTTTCCTCAATACGCGTATAATAAATGAAATGTTCAAATTATGTTATTTCCCAAAAGACTGGGCTGACCCTTACCCAAACCGGGAAAATATCAGCAATAAACTACAGACCCATAAGCTTGTTATCTTCTATTAGCAAAATTGCAGAAGAAGCCTTCCTAAATAAGATCAGAAATCACTGCACAGAAAATAATATCATCACTCTCCCCCTCCCCCTAACAATTTGGATTCCAACCAAAATTATCAAATACCCACCAAATATTCAGAATAACGGACCTCATCCACAACGGCTTCTTAAATAACAAACACAATATTTCTCGACCTTGAAATCGATAATGTATGGATCGAAGGGCTTATACACAAATTATTTTCGCTAAATTTTCCCTACGCCTTTAATTTTTTTTTTTATAACCGTCGTTGAACAGCAGACCGAATTTTTCAGTTTGCGACTACTAAGGTTCAATTACGTATCCTTGTAATTTTGATCCGAATCCAGAAGATCCAAGGAAACTCCTGGACCAAGTATTGGAAGAAACTTGCTTTCGTGGAGGAACTTTATGAAGGAACTAACCAGCATTTGCGTTACTCGGAGAGGAAAACCTCCCACGGGTAGCCTGATGGCAAGGGGACACTAACCCATGATCCGTCTACCACTAAGGATATTTTGCGTCAGCACTGTGGTCTTGCGAGCCGGGTGCGAAATTCGTATCAATCTGCCATCACTGAAATTCGAACCCGGTTCATCTCATTGGAAGGAGAACGCTCTATTCCCTGAGCAAGGCCGCCTCGAAAGAAGGAGGAGTTTTAGTTCAGGGGGCCACGGCACTCGTTTTGTGACGTCACTCATTACGATCCAGATATGTTTCTTCACTTTCTCTTTAGAAGTTTGAATGTTGTCAAAAAGAGATAGCTTTATTCATAAAATTTCAAGCTCTGCTAAAAATGGAATCTTCGTTTTAGCAAAAACATTGTATTTACTTAGTAATAATTTCAAAAGAATATTAATTTAGTTATTTTTTTGTGAAGTAGGGCAGAAAAATAACTTTTTCATCTATCTGCATATTTATAAGTTATCAGTTAAGTTGACTTAAAACGAATTTCAAGTAATTTTTAAAAATGTCTCTTCTGCCTAAATTACGTGACATTAATTAGAATTTAATTTATTCTAATTAAACATAATTTATTTTATACATGTATTCTAGCTTCTTTTGCATCTTAAATTAACAAGCCCTCAACCTCATACAATATAGTGCAAATGAAATTATCATCCATAAGAAAAGTTGAATCTGAATGTATAGAGAGATAACTAGTCAATTTAATAAATGTTTTGAGTTCCGTTAAAACATTTTAATTACAGATGGTAAATATTTCTTTTCCAAATTACCTTTTTTTTTAATTCAAAAAAATAAAAATGTGATTTAGCTATGATGCTGCTTAACAATTATTTATTGCAAATTATATTTTAAATCCACATAAGTTGAACAACCAACTACACTTTTTATGATTCAACTAAATCTTTATTCAATTTATTGATATTTACCAATAGGAAGTTTTGAACCAAATAATTGGAATGCTTTCAGGTAGGAGACTAGTCACATAAAAAAGAAATATATATTTAGAATTAATTCTTATATTGGAAAAATATTTCTTGTTGAACATTTAACAAAACAAGACTATTAAAATAGTGTTTAAAAGGCATAAGATTCATATTTAATAAGATACTAAAGAATGAATTTAAGAGGATAAAAAAAAAATGTATATAACGAAAATAAAACTTCCAAAAAAAAATTTTTTTAATTAATATAGGAAAAAAAGCATATATATTTCATCAAATGTGTAGGTGAATTTAAATGAGTTATATAAACTTTGCAGGTACAGAATACAATTTTTTTTTATTCATTCTTCATACAAACAATACTTTTTCATGAATAACATTAATATAATTATTTTTACATTTACGTTATGTATCAAGATATAAATACAAGAAATTGTCACATCAATCTGAATTATAGAAATGTAGAGGGGAAATGTTAACATTGTTACTAAAAGCTAAAATTGTTTTCTTAATGCAATCATACAAAAAATAAATAAATAAAAATGCAGACAAGATAGGAAAAATTAAAATAACTGGCGGTGAATCATTTGTTCTTATAAATACTACCTTGCAATAATTTTTGTTTAACTAACAAAACAAAAGAAACTATTCAAAAGAAAACTTAAACCAGTCATGGTTAAAAACAAATATATAGAATAACAAAAGAAAAGTACTAGAAACATATTTTAAGTATTGTACTATTAATAAAGTGAGCAAAATTATTATGTACTAGTATTATGTAACCAATTTCACGGGTAACTACAATATTTAAAAACATTTTTTTCTCCCCTAATTGTATTAAAAATACATTGAATTCTCCCACCAAAAGCTTAAAAACTATTTACCAATAGCATTGCATTTTTGACAATTTTGTACAGTTCGTATTGCACAAAAAAAATCTAAATAAATAAAAATTACATTTTGAAACCTGTTTCGCTTAAATAGCCAAACAGAAGAAATCATTCAAAGGGAAGTTTTTAAGCCTGACAGTGTTGTTAGATGCTTTAACCAGCAAAAACAATATATAATTTGTTTTTTCATCACCACTCGTAAAATAACAAATTTTATATAAGCCTTAGAAGAAATTCCTTAGAATTTTAATAAAAATGTTTAAAATTCCAAAAGCTAATATTTCTTTAATGTAATCATACAACAAAGAATAAGAGCAAAACACGGACAATTAGAATAATAACTAGTAGTACA